TTTAGCCTGTGGAGCTGTGAGAGAATAAATTTCTGGTATTCTAAGCCATCTAGTTTGTAGGGCTTTGTTATAGTAGCCATAGGAAACGTACAACGTTCTTTAGATTTTTTTCAACCATGTAAAAATGTAAAAGCCATTTTAACTCACAGGCCATACTCAAAACAAGCTAGACTTGGCCTATGGGCTGCAGTATACAGAATCTTGTCTGTCATCAAACCCCTGTCCTCTCAATCTGATTCCCACTAAGATATCAGAGCCAGCCATGCACTGCCCTCCCAAAGTCAGAGTCTTATCTCCATACTACTAAATTTTAATAATTCCAATTCCCTTCTCCTTCCTTTAATGGCTTAGTGGCTACTTCCATTCTATTTTCCTGTTCTTTTTCTTCTTCATTTACCTCTGTGACAACTATATATGTAGTTATCAACTAATTTTTTTATAAAATTCTCTCAGTTGGGATAATTGTGTGATTTATTTCTCCTGACTGCTCTCTAACTGGCATAATTTCCTTTCTACAATATTCTTCAAGACTTTATATGAAATATACTAACCTTTGGATGCCTTGGTAATTACTACATTTAATTTTAGGTAATTAAAATAATTCTTTACAGAGTTGGAAGTTCTGACATAAAAATTGAATACCTTGACTTGAACTTTTACTAGCAATCATTCTTATTTTAATTGATTTACTCCCCCTGAGAATTTCCAAGTACTTTAGAACTAAAGAATCTTGGTGCGTTACCCTGAAGACAAATCAAGGCTGCCAGCGTCTTACAAAGTTAAATGCACACCTACCTTTCACTGGGTAATTCCATCCTAGGTGTTTACCCAAGAGAACCAAAAACATGTATTCACAAAAACACCCATACAATGTGTTCACAGCAACTTTATAACAGCCCAAATCTGGAAATAAATTTCCATCAACAAGATAATGGATAGAGAAACAGGTATGTCTGTACAATGCAATACTACTCATCAACAAATAAGAATGAACTAATTCCAAACAAGAATGAATCAACTAATACATAAAACAACACAGAAAACCATAGAGAAATGTTGAACAAAAGAAAAAAGGCACAAAAAATTATATATTAATTAAATAGGAGGAATTAACTCTTATGCTCTATAGCATAATAAGGCAAACAGAGGCTACAACAATTTATGATACATTTCAAAATAACTAGAAGACTATGCAGTTTCAAATAGAAATGATAAATAGCTAAGAATATGCACACACTAATTCCCCTGCTTTGATCTTACATTGTACATGTTTTAAAGTATTTTGTCATATACCCTATAAATAAGCACAGTTATAAAATTTAAACTTATGTTTATTAAACTTAAAAATTTAAATAAAAATCACACATATAATTTTGCTTATATTAAGTTCAAAGACAGGTAAAATTCTAATGACAGAAATTACAACAGTTGCCTTTTAAAAGACATTTTAAGATACTTACTTAAATGCCACCTGTATTTTCTAACACCAGTAATATGTGTGTTTAGATCTTCCCATTTTCTAGTTGAATTTTTAGAGTTAAATTTTCAGAGTTGTTTATTCAGGAAAAAGTGTTAACTAGGAAGTGGCAGAATAGATTTGGGGTTGAAAGAAATATATCTTGATTTAGGGATTTGACAGAGGCTTATACATCTGTCAAAGCACATTGATCTGCACTCTTAATGTGTGCATTCTACTCTATGTATGTCTTAAGAAAACTCAGAGAATAAATTTTGGAGAATGAATTGAAAATAATCTAAGTTGTCATCAATAAGAAAATTAGTGGAATAATTATGGAAATATGAAGTTTTTTTCTTCCGTAATGAAGTACATTTACTTAAAGTATCATGAAACATTTCCTGAATATATTATTGTTTTTTAAAAATAAGTCACATATAAGTAGGCATAATATGATCATACTGTTTAAAAATCTATAAGTGTGTGCAAAGAAATAAGCGTTTACAAATGCAGATCGAAAACAGCTAGAATGGGGCTGGGGATTTAGCTCAGCGGCAAAATCGCCTGCCTGGCAAGCACGAGGTCATGAGTTCAGTTCCCGGTACCGGAGAAAAACTAAAAAAAAAAAAAAAAAAAAAAAAAGAAAACAGCTAGAAGGAACCATCTAAATTGGTAAAGCAGTTAACTGGAAAGCAATTCTAAAAAGAGGGTACATACAAGAATTTAAACTTGAATTTTACAATGACCACATAAATCTAGATCCTGGAACAATGGTTGATACATAGTAGATAATAGTTTGTTGAACAAATTAGTGGATTAATTAATAAATTACTAGTTTCCATAACATTAGAACAAAAATTCAAAGTAAAAAAGTACAAACAAGTAAAATCAGTAGAAATCCTAAAATCTGGCTCTCAGAGGAGTATTCTTTATATTTTGGTATATACATATATACCAAGCTGTTTCTTTTATTTATTTTTGTGATTGGTTAAAAATTATATCTATTTATGGTGTGTAACGTGGTGCTTTGATATACATACGCATTGTGTAACTGTTGAATCAAACTAATTAACATATTCATTTCTTCACATACTCTTCTTTTTCAGTGCATATGGTAAGAACACTTAAAATCTATTCTCAGCAATTTTCAATCATACAATATGTTGTGATTAACAATAGTCATTATGTTGTCCAGATCTTCTGAACTGATTCCTCCCACTGAGCTGAAATTTTGCTGAAGATATAGCTCAGCAGCACAAACACTTGCCTGCTAAGCACAAGGTCTTGAGTTCGATCCCCAGTACAAAAGAAAAAAAAGAAAAATAGCTGAAATTTTGTGTTTTATATCTAATTTTTAAACATCAACAATATTAAAACAATATATAATATTTCATAAATTGGTTATTTCTAATCAAAGATATGCCAGGGCATCTTTCTATGCCAATTAATATATATCCAAGTAATTTTAATGCCTGTACTCTATTCTAGCATTCACAATATTTTACACTGATACAATTTTTCTGTTTAACATTGCTTCACTTACTCAGTCAGGCAGTAAACGACTGCTGAGAATCTATAATATTTTAGGCAGGTACCCCGCCAGGCACAGTAACACAATACTGGCTAGTGGAGGTAAAACTCTTGTAGCTGTCTTCATGCAATTTGAGTCTGAGTTGAGAGAGAAACAGTACGTAAGTAAATACAAAGATAAAGACATGGTTTTAAAATATAATAAGTATGAAAATTAATTTGAGGTAAAAGAATCAAACACCATCTCTGAGAGTGTGGAATGTCAGCTAAGTTTGAAGGATGGGCTGACGCGGGGCTGAAGTGAAGAGGGCAGAGAGCCTTGCAGACACAGAGACCAGCCCAGGGAGGAGCGCACTCTCTGTGAACAGAGGAAGTCAGAACCCTAGAACATCATAATCAGGGAAGGGGTGGTGCTGGACTCTACTGGAGGGTAGAACTTTGAGTTGTTATTCTAAGGGCAAAGGGAAGTCCCTAAAGGTGTTTTGGTTGTTGTTTTGTTTTGTTGCTGTTGTTATTTTGCCTCCCCTACCCCCATCATCACATTATAGATATAGATCAAGATGTTTCCCAATTAAGTTAACTACTTGCTGAAAGCAGAATAGATTACAGAGAAGAAGAAATAAAAGCCCACAGATGAATAAAATGAAGGTTTCCTGGCTTGGAGGAATGTTAAAGGATGGAAGCAGCTATCCATGAGTAACAGTGCTACAGATTTGGAAAAGGAACACAATGGGAAGAAAAAAAAAAAGTATCTTTTTGTGACATTAGAAAGTGCACAATATTTTACACATAATTTCGAAGTTGGTGCAGAACTTCTAGGTAGAAAACCACAGCATAAAAACATGTCCACATGGTCCCATCAAAAGCACAGAGCAGTGGGAGACCTGTGTGATGATTTGCGGGTTTGCAGTGGTTCTGGGATTGGCTTTGCCCGTGCTGCATTCCTTGCTTCATCTCTCTGCCCTCTGGAAGGTACAAAGACCTAAGGAACCATGGCAAAGTCAGCCTGAAAATATTAAAACTGATTTGCATTCTTTGGGTATCTTCGCATTCATGAAAGACTACCCAAAAGGAGTCTGCTGGGAGCAGAAAGAAACCAAAATAGTGCTGTATCCTTCTATTAGAATACACTGCTACAAACCCATCGGTAGGTGATGAAATACCTCCCCAAACTTCTCTGGTTAACATTTCCTGTCTGGCCGTTTACTGTGTGCAGCTCTTCTATATTGCTAAAAATAGTTTTGCAAGCACACCGACAATAATTCAGTCTGCTTTCCTAAATCTTCAGGGAACAGGAGGCTGATATGAAACTGAAAGTATTAATTCTGAATAGAGAGAGGGTTTAGTTGCTTACTTTGGTATGGATTCTTCAACAGTCTTTTAAAACAAAAACAAAATGTCATTTCTCTGGCCCCGGCTAGGTACTGTACCATATGTGCTGAAAACATCCTCTTAATATTAGAGAACATGACATGCCTTTCACCTTGAGGAATAAGGGACTGACAGTCTCCAGCGACCTAAAGAATTGGGTGTCTGTAACTTTCTGCTAGAATGACTACAGGAAAGGGTCATGGTCCAATCTGAAGGTCTATTCTTCCCTGAAATTCTCACAATGTCTTTCTGCTGCTCCAGGCCTCAGGGTTCGCCTCCTCTAGACTCATTCAATGTATGTTTGTTCCCTGCCCTATAAAGTATCATGTACAGTATCTCTGGCCTCAGCCAAATCCTAGAGAAAACACTTTCTTAATCTTCTCTATGTTCCCCACACAAAACGGGCACCATGCTAGCTCCCCTTGGGCATTTCATGAGTGTGTGTTCATCAGAAAGAAAAGTTGGGAAAAGGTTGGGAAAGTTGGGGAAATGTTGTGGAAATAATCTTTCAGAAAGAAAACATTCTAAAATGCAAGCTGTTAGAACAAAACCTTAGAACAGTTACATGTCATTAGGTCATTCCGTGAGAATTACAGTCTAAGGCAGACACCCTCAATGCAGCAGAATCTTTAATGTTTTCCAGGAATCCTCTGGCTCTGGATTTGCCTGGATGACAAACGTGAAGACAACCATTCTACCCCAAGAAGAGACCCTTGCTGAGAAACGTGAGCACTGCGTCACACCACCCTGGCTGGGGGGTCCACCCCAATGCCACATTAAGAACTAGGGACATTACAGAGGGACTTCAGGCCCCCAGAGGACTTGGGCCCCCCTCAAAGGCTGCCACAGGCAGCCAAACCCGATGTGCCTTATTCACTGCGAGCTAATTTCTCTTAGCTTATTTTCAACCTGTCCAGTCACCACAACACAAACTGTTTTTATAAGAACAGGCCCATGACAGGAAATAATTTACTTCCAATGATAAAAGAAATGAGAAGCCCCACAAATTCAGCCCTGAACTGACCACTCCCAGAGGGACATTCAGGAGCCACAAGTGAAGTAGATGGTGTCATAGTAGAGAGAGACAAGAGGAGAGAGACATAACAGTCCAAGGAAACTGCAAGTGCTTAACCTAGAAAAGAGAAAGTATGACAGCTGTCTTCTACAATTTGAGGGAAGGTATATGAAAGATGCGGGTCAACACAGAGCTAGTCAGAGGGCAGGATTAGAAGGCCATTAAGGGTGCAGATGTAAGGCAGAGGTCTTTGCCTACTATCTCAGAAAACAGACCCTAAGCAGGCAAAGTTTAGGAATCATTGCTTTACCTGGGAGTACAGTCTCACAAAGAGATCCAGGGCAGGGAAGGGAGGAGAGCAAAAGTGAGAAGCTGTGTTACCAAGATGTCTACAACTCCCCAAGAAACACAGCAGATCACTACACACACACACACACACACACACACACACACGACAGGAGGAAGAAGAACTAGAAGTTTATCTCCTGGGTACATTTCTGTGTGTCCTCCTCCCCGTGTGACATAACTACCCCTACACTTCTGCTTGCCCCTTCCAGAGGCACCAAGAATCAGCCAAAGTCCAGTCCTCCCCCACAAGTCTGGCCCAAGCCCTGTAGGTCCCACCATACAAATTCAACCAAGTACCCTGAAGCCCAGCCCTCCCGCTAGGAGGTGAGTCCACCAGGAAGGAAGCAGGCGCCAAGGTTTTATGAACTACGAGGATGGCAGGAAGTGGAGCTTACAGTGAAGGCCTGAGGAGAGCAAGGCTGAACAGTTAGTCCTTGGACCACCCCAGCACAGCAGGGAAGATGCAGCTGTCTAACATCCCAGTCCATCCCACAGCGGAACAGCCCATGCTGCTCAGACATGCGGTATACACAGGTACCCAGGGAGCTTGTCAAATGAAGGTTCTGATTCAGCAGGTCTAGGGTAGCTCTCAGATTCAGCGCTTATTTTAACTCCCAGCTCATGCTCTGCAGCTACTCCTAGCTACACTCTGAATATCAAATGGATGTTTTGCTTCACAAAGTAGCAAGTTTTACATCCCTAGGTGTTATGCTTTAGCAGATCGGGCATTGATTGATCTTCTGCCACAAAAACAGTCAGGATTTTGCAGAAAGTTCTCCTGCCTCGGTTTATCAAAATCTTGAATTTGGAAGGGTCTATAGTGGTCCCACTATGTAATAAGTAAATCAGAGTTAAGATTTTGATTTATTTTTCAAAGCTTGATAAATATTAAACAGATGATGAATGAAAAATTAGTTAACAAAGAAACAATGTCTCCCTTAGCTCTGACTCCTTTCCCACGTTTTAGAGACCACTTCTCAGTCCCAGAGCGCAATCAGCAGAGGCCTTGATTGAAACTTAGCTTTACTTAATGACAACTGACCAGGAACAGATGTAATTCAGTCAGTAATTTGTGTGATTGATGCTTTTCTCACCACCTCCCTTTCAATACCTTGCCTCATCCACATGAAGCATAAGGAGTAAATGCAGAGATGTTAAAAGGCATGACATTTGGATCATTAGACACTTTGTCCTCCGGAGATTTATCGAACTTGAATTAAATTTAAAGTGAAAATTCAATCATTTCACTTCATTCCCTGATGAATAAAAACCAAAAGTAAGTTCTCAATCCAGGAACCTTATGGAATGTGAGTTTCTGGAAAATTGAGTTTCCCACAACTGTTAGAACTGCCTGTATTTTCCTTTTTATGCTAATTATTTTATTCCACTTACCCCTTAGAACTTCTCTACAAATTCAAACTACACATAGCCATTTCTCTTTACTTTTCAACGAATTTCTCTAATTCGTATATACTCTATCATCAGGGGCTACAGCACTGGCCCCTTTAACCCTCATCCGCTTACACATTTGGCTTGTGCCCAAATGCTAGGGCGCACACTCTCCAGAGGAAGAACGGCTTTGCTTTCAAGGCGGGGCGGAGGCGGCAGGAACCATACGGTTTGACTGCAGCTGCTCCTCTCGGCCACGTGGCGACGCTGTTGAGAACACCCTCTACCAGCTCTGCAAGAGCCTTTCCTGCTCTAGACATAACTAAATGCTTCTGTGGTTCCCTAGGAGAGCGTACTGCCTACCTCAGTGTTGAGCTCAGACACATGGTTGCAGCAGCCTGTCTTTTGTTCTTGCCTCACACACACACACACACACACACACACACACACACACACACACACACATCCTCAGACGCTGGCCAGCCACAGAGACGTGTTTGGGACTCCCAGATTCAAAATCATTTTCTTCCTCTCTCTAAGAGGTACATACGCGTAGCTCCTAAAACCTCAAAGTAATAAAGGTCTTATGAAATCCCTCTTTCCTGTACAGTCTGCACCAAGCTTTCTTAGGAAAGCTAACGTCAATGGTTCCTAGATACCCTCACCCAGCCTGATCCTCACTTCCCTGACTGGTTTTAGACAAGCTGCACTGCACATTATTTAACTTTTTATTCACGTCTCAGTGCTAACCTTATGGACATGGCTTGGTTTGTCTTTTTAAGTACAAAAGTGTCTTTTACATTTTGAAAGAAGCATAAATTTAGAACAGTGACTTGACTTACTTCATATTACACAGCTAGTATTTGGAAGTCCTGATTTCTAACCCGCCTGGCCCAACCACAGGCTCTCTGCAGTTTACCCCACAGCCTCCCGCTCCCTGGGGCTGTCTGAGGCTGATTCTCCTCCAACTTCCCTGTTCTTTCCCTCCGTTTCCTATTTTTACATACATATCTCTATGATCCAGCTAAACTTGATGACTAATTTTTCTCCAAAAATGAGCTACTTCCCCATCTCTGTGTTTTTTTCACGTTGTCTCTATTTTCCTAAATTACCCTCTATTTCCTCTCTGCTGTTTGAATCCCAAATCATTCCTTGAGGCTGCCCACAGCCCACACATTAACTCCTCCTTCAGGACTTTTCTAACCCCTCCTACTGAATGTGGTCTCTTCCTGTTTTAGACTCTCATAGTATTTTATACATGCTTTTCCTATAGTAATTTCATTCCCAAAATGCAGACATTTGAGGACACCTTGTCTTCCATGAACATAGCACTCTAATTTTTTATTTCCTACAGTAGTATCAGAGAAAAAGATCTTATACTTAGTAGGCATTTAGCAACATGTGCTGAATGGAATTTCAATGCCAAAAGCATCCCCAAACCTTTCCTAAGATTCTCCCTTCAGTCTGAACTTCGTCCTTCTTAGCATACTCTAATTGTATGACTATTAGATACAAAATATGAAAGACAAAATAAGGAAAGGATTATATTGAGGATAATTTTGATAGGTTGAAAAAGTCTCAAATGGTTCTAAGGACAGGAAACTTCTATTGATATATTCACATCACCAAAGTCATCCATCTCTGCAGAAAATGGAGAAAGAAGGTGTCATTTCATACAGCTGATCATGCTCTTTCATCTTTGAGAACAATGACATTGCTATCAGTTTGATTTCTTGATAGCTTACTAAGCCCATGCTCAATCTCTTAATACTGTAGTCACCCCCCACCCAGGAGTTGGTCCCACCTCTTCTATTATTCTCCTCTTCTATTATATATACCTCTTCCTAGGAGGAGAACTTCTGCCACCTGAGCAACTTACAATCCACTAAGAACTGGCCAGTAAGGGGCAGAAATGGTAACTGATCGACGTCATTTAACCATCATGAAATATTTCCAACTTCTGACTTTGGCAGAAACTCTCAGCTTGTGAGTGATAGGCAGAAAGAAGAAATAATCAGTACTTGGTTCCCTTAGGTGCCTCCTAGAACGTGTGATGATTTGCAAGACTGCTAAATAAAAATCAGTTTTTTGTGTTCGCTTGCAAGGTATGAACAGAAATCATCCTGAATCAATGTCTTCCTTTCTGCTTTTTGTAATGCTGATCAGAAAACTCTAGACCTTATAAGGCAAATCAGTGCATGCTTGTATATACTAAATGCTTTGTCCTTTTAGGTCATTTTAAAGACAGAAGAAAATAAAAACTGCGATAGACTTCTATGCTCACTTATTGTCCCACTGTTAGTAGAATTCTGCCACTCAAAACACATGGAATGCTGATTGCTATGTATTCTTCTACTATGAAAGATAGTAACTAGGTACCTGGTAAAAAACACTGCAAGCCTTTGCCCTGGGATACCTGTGCTGGGGTGTGTGCATGGAGAGTGCATGTGTGTACAAATGTGAGTATATGACTATGCATGTATGTGTGAGAAGGTGAGGAAGTGTACATATGTGTGCATGTGGACCAGCTGGTGTACATGATCTGCATAAACTACTCTCCTTACCCAGTTCTAACTGCTGACCTTTCTAGCTTTCTTCTGTGCAAAATAGCTCAAAACTTCCCAGTGAATATGTTGATAATGACCTTTTACTGCTTTGGGGAACTCTATGTGATTATCTTGCAGTAGTGAGAATTTACCAAGGGTATTGAATAGAAGACAAGTGTTAAAGAGAAAATGAGCAAAATTTACTTCCTTTATAGAAAGAGATTAGATTAAATTATCTTAGAAACTATCTTTAAAGCTTGAAGTCCATCAAGGAATCCTTTTTATTTAAATCTTCATAAGAAAATATGGGTCACACAGTTCATAAAGTCTTTCCTCTTAGAAAAATATTTGAGTTAGTTCAGAACTTTCCTTCATAAATTTCCTTATTATGTCAAATATCTGAAGGGCACAAAATATCCAGGTTTAGAGAGGAGAGCTCCAAATCCTATTATCAATGCCCCTAAGCATTAGTAGTTACCCTGTCAGAAAGCATATTTTAGCATTCAATTGTACATATTTACTTGTAAATTATAACATGCTCTATACTACTATCATATTATTTATACAGTAAAATGGAGATAAATTGTTTGTTTGTTTGTTTTTGTCTTTTTGAGACAAGGTCTCTCTATGCAGTTCAGGCTGGCTTGGAGCTCACTTTATAGCCCAGGGTGGTCTCTAACTCACAACGATCCTCCTGCTTCAGCCTCCCAAGTGCTGGGATTACAGGCATGCACCACTATGCCCAGATGAGATAAACTGTTAGAAGCAGAATTAAAGGAAACATTATTTTTAAAAGTGTTTTTTAAAGTGTGTAAAAATCTTTTCTTCTCTTCTTGGAATTTTTATTACTAATTTCAGTGACAGCTATGTGATTAAACACATTTTATTATTTGTGAATTTGGTTTTTCTTCTGTCTTTTCTGAATTATTAGCTTCAAATAGCTTTTAGTCTTAGTGTTTTAACATTATCAGTAGTAAATATCTCAAGGCATAGTACACAATTAGTGAGATATATTGCTACTGAGGCTGGTTATGAATCTATATTCATGTACTAAGGCTGATATAATAACTACCAGGACTGGGGGGCCTAAACAGCAGAAACCCCTTTGTGCACAGTTCCAGACAATGAAAGCTAAAGATCAATCGAAGTGTCAGAGTTAGTTCCTTCAGTGGAAGGATCTACTTATGGGTTCTCTCCTTGGCTTGTAGATGGTAGTCTCCTCCCTGGGTCTTAATGTTGGCCTTTCCTCTAGTCATACCTCTGTGCCCAATTTCTTCTTTGTAATAGGGACACCAACGATACTGAATTAAGGGCCACATGTATTTCTCTCATTTTTACTTAACTCTGTAAGGACACTCCAGAAAAGGTCACCTCTGAGACACCAGGGGATAGGATTTCAACATTTAAACTAGGTGGGATAGTCAGTCCATAACAAAATTCATATTTCAGATGTTTATAATTTTGAAGTTTTGGGTAAATTTCTTGTTAGAAGTTATCAGCTTTCCACTGACATTTTGTTGATACTTGTCTTAGTTACTGTTCTCTCATTGCTGAGACAAAATCCCAACACCCAAAGTTAAGGAGGAAAAGTTTATTTAGCTCACAGTTTGTAGAAGTATCAGTCCATAATCTGCTGGCTCCAAGGTAGGGTGGCACATGGCAGAGGGGCAATAGCTCATGATTGCAGAAGACAGCAAAGACAACAAGGGAAAAAAACAAGACTCTTTCTGTCTCTCATATTGTGTGCAGACTACTTGCCCTAGGCTGGGTGTAGCATTCACACCCTTAACTCCAGCCAGAACTATGCCAAACCAAGCAGTGAACTGATTCATTAATCACACACTCTTAAAATCCAGCATCACACATTCTAGGTTCAACCACCTCTGAAAAAGCCCTACATCCACATGAGGCTTTGGGGGGACATTTAGATACAAAGCATAATGTCTAATATTACCCTTCTTTCGTGGTTTCATTACAGAAATCTAAGATCCTTGTTCCTTTAACCATGTTCACATAAATTCCAAGACATCACAAGATACTGAAAGCAAATAGGTGAATAATGGTACTGTTATGCAGCTCCCCCCGACCCTATGATGCCATGACCCTCTGACATCCAGACCATTTGAAGACACTGTCTATTGCTTTATGGCACGGAGTGAAGCTATAAGCTTCTGTGAACACATAAGCTCTAATACATTCTTCCGATGTGCTAATGGGTTGTCTTGTGGGTGTAATCACCCCACTTTGGAGATCTCTATCCAAACTAGACTTTTAAGAAACTACTGTACTTACATATCTTCAAATTCAGACTGGGAAAGTTACTTGTTAGGAGGACTTACGCTATGAAGTAGGCTGTGAAATCCTGTCTCAGTGAAACCAAATCCAAAGTGCCCACTGAATTTAGTATTCTTGCTTTCCTTTTTTCATAGGATCCCATATGCAAGTATTTAATTGTTCCCAGAGGTCTGAGGCAGTGGGCTGAGATAAGAAACTCCAGCAACACTTCACCAGCCTGTGGATTATGTCATTCAATCTGCAGTGTTAAGAGCATTTGTGAAGATTTCGTTCAGAAGATATCATTATTGCCTGAGTCGTGGCTTGATACACTCTGCAGAATAGTGTAGTAGGAACTATGTTCTTCACAAAAGTCACAAGATAATAACGAGGATGCAGGTTGGGAATGAAAGATGCCAAATAATCTGCTCAATTCAATAAAGCAATTTGACAGGCAGTGAGTGACTTCATAGAATGGAAATATCAGCTGTGAAAGAGCTGCAGAGGGAAAAATCTCCTTTGTGTACAATGAATTTGACAAATGTACTCTGGTTCTGTGAGAGGACCTGGGCCTTCCAAAGAGCAGCACTTCAGTGGCCAGATGACATAGTCAGAGGGGATCAAGGGCCACCAAGGAAAAGTAGCCATGGCAAGTCCTACACTGTTCTCACAGCTGGTCCTGCATCCCAAATGCAAAGCATCCCAAATCAAAACATAATTTTCATCATAATCTAATAATCAATTTTGATAATAATCTAAATAAAAATATCAATGCAAACATAGTCATGTCATCTGCATGAGCCTGAAGTTCCACTGGCTGAACAAAAGCCAACTAAAAGAATGTGCTTGATGTTTCTCATCCTCTAAATGAATTCTAAACTGGAACAGGGTAATTACTTTTTACAATTCTGGGTAGAAAGGAAATAAACTTGATGGGGACTATAGCTATACTTACTAATGGTAATACAAAAGTACCATCTCCGATTCACTGCATATATTTCTACAACTAGGCATATCTCATTACACCATGAGTTTTGAAAATGCCAGTCTGCATTACTGGATTATAAATTCATTAAAATCAGGGACCATGGCTAATCTCTGTATTTCCAGTGTCAATACAGATCTTGACACCTAATAAGTACTCAGTAAGTGTTTTGAAGACAGAATGATGAATAACCCAGTTTGCTGTTGAACATGTTTAAAAGTCCCTATTGTCATATGCATGACCTGATGGACCCCTCACAATAAACCTGTGGATTTGTTAGCAATACTTTCATTTTAAAGGTGGGAAAAGTGTGCTCAGAGGAGATAAGTGACTTGCCCAAGGTCACAAATCTTCTAACAGCAAAAGCAGGGTGTTGACCTAGAACTGATACCAAGATTAGGCAGTACTTTTCTACAACCCTGCAGTCAAAAAAAAAAAAAAAAAAAAAGCACTTGTACCCAAATGTAAGGGACACAAAAGTAAAGTTCTGAGTCTATCAATGAGAGGATCAGGATCTGTGACTTACTTTTTTAAGCTTACAGAATGCCTAGAAGTGTGACCAGCTGTTATGCATCATGAGTTAACGAAGAAAGAAACAAATACCTGCCAAAGTTTAAGGCATAGATAGCTGCTCTCACCAACAGCATGGCTTCACCCTGGCCTCCGGCGTGTAGATAAGGCCTGAATGACTACCAGATTATTCTGAGAAAACAATTGAGAACTTTGCCCCCAGAGAACAGGCTTTGCATTAGTTCAGCATAGACACCACCTTTGCCTTCAGTTTCCTCAAGAAACAACAAAAAAAGATGTGCGCATACCCCTCCCTGCCCCAGGGTCAGTCAAGCAGTTCCTGAGGGTTCCAGACAGGATTTTCCAGAAGGAGAACATTGAGAGATCTCAAAGAGAGAGGCCTTGGAGACAGCCGGACATGGATAGAATCCTCCTTACTCTCTCGTTGTGTGGTGCTGCTCAAGTTCCTTAACCTCTCTGTGCCCCAGACACTCATCTGTAAAACTGAATTGATTCTAATGTCTACCCCATGGGTTCTTGTGAGGACAAAATGCGATGAAGCATTGTCAGGAACTTAACCAATGTTCCTTAACTTGGCTTCTAGAATCTCTGTGTGTCTTCAGGTTGTCTCAAAATTCAAAAAGTCTAGGAAAACATAATTTTGATAATAATCTATATAATCAATTTTGATAATAATCTAAATAAAAATATCAATGCAAACATAGTCATGTCATCTGCATTAGCATGAAATTCCACTGGCTGACTGTGTGTATATGTTTTTATACTGAGAGGGGCACCAAGCTAAGGGCAAGAGATGCTACCACATGTCATGAAATATTTTGTAGCAGTTTCAACAGAGAAAAGTGAAAGGAAAATGAAGTTATAATATGGTTCATAACGGTGTTGAAAAGTCAATCATCCAACACCTGTGCCTTTGCTAAGTGTAATATTTATATTGCCAGTAAAAGCACAATCAATACTTTGTTATATAATATTTTTTTATTTTTCAGAATAAGGAGTATACATTCTAAGTTGGCAAATTCTTAGTAGTTTATTAAAATAGTAAAATGATTATAAAGGAAATGCTTTCATTTTAAATAATGATTGACAGTGACTAAAATGATCATGAGCAAAACCTAACCATGCCCCAAACACCTTTCTACTAATACATTCAGCATGGACAGTTTAAATTGAACCAAAAATCTGTTCCTTAAACTCTCATTAATTTGAATTTTATTGGTTGAGGCTTGGTTTTTATTTAATTTGTAAATTTGTTTTGGTTTTTATTTAATTTGTAAATTTGTTTTGGTTTTTATAATTGTGTAAAATATACACTATCTAGCTTTATGGCTTTATGTAGCTAAGGAATTATAGAATAGAAAGTAGTATGTTATGCTAGAAGGCTGTGGCAGTTCATTTCCCTTAAAAAGAGAGGGATATGCACTGGGGATTACTCAAGTCAAACACTGAACTGGAGTCTAAAATCCTTCTATGTGGAAACTAATGACCCCAGGATATAGGAAGGAAGAAAGAGAGTGATGGGGTGATCCCAGATCATTATAAGACTTTTCATTATAATCATTACACAATTTTTCTCAGCAGAGAAATTCTAGATGATCAAGAATGGAATGCTCTCATGCAAATTCAGACTATAAAGGGAAGTATCTCACACTTGCATGGCTGTATCTCATTACTCAGAGTCAGTAAGAGGGAGAAAGAACTAGCAGTTACCACTTAGGCAAAAAAAGACTGTCATCCATGCAGGATTCATTGCAAAACTGCCCTTCATATTTCTGAACTACAAAAAATACACATCTGAATAATTAACACAGTGGCTTATTACAGGAAACCAGCTGAAAAGTATTTCCAAGTGACTGATGACAGCTCCCACTTTTTTCTAAGCCTAAACAATGACAAGGAGATTTCAAAGCTCCAAAGAAGGTGGGAGAGCCCACCGTAGTGATGCATGTCTGTAATCCCTGCACTAGGGAGGCTGAGGCAAGAGGATTGTTGTGAGTTCGAGACCAACCTGGGCTACAACATGAGCTCAAGTCCAGCCTGAACTGCACAGCGAGACCCTATCTCAAAAAGACAAAAAAAAAAGAAGGTGGGAGAGATGACTTTTTACATGGATAGTATTTATTCTTAGGCTGGCATCATCTTTCCCTCCATGAATGAGCAATGTGTCCTCCTCACATTTATCTGCTCCTTTAAATAATCATGCGACTCCAGAGGATGGGGCAGAAGTGATAGTGATACTGCAGTACAGATCCCATTTCCGTAACTTGTGTGCTACGCTAAGTTAAAATCTGGTACAGTCATATAAAACTAGGTTTCTAAATTGTGAAGTCAGACAGAAACGGTCATGAGCAGGTGGTTAGACTGGTGAGCCCAAACTAAGGGAACACAGCATGTTGAAGGGCCCTAGGCCTTGGACGAGCCCCAGAAAGCCCTGTAGGTGGCACAGCATCATGCATGCCTTCATCACCCTTTCAGTTCTAGCATAAAGGGTGCTTCTCAAGTGAAATATTACAGATCAGAGGAGGGCGCCCAACAGCAAATACACAGCACGCCTGCAGATGCTCGTGGGAGAGCTCAGCTCTGGAGCCACAGTAGTGACTCACTACACAATGTGTGCCTCTTTCTCAAACATTTGACTACATTTGACTGAAGGTTTAGATGGAAACATAAAGATACAAAAAGGAAAGTGACATTTGGATTTTGAGGGCAGTTACTAGGTCCCACGAAATACTCTACACATGTTACGTAATCCTATAAGAAGTCTATGAAATACTACTGTATTGCCATTTTTCAAGATAAGAAAACTGAAGCCAAAGAGAGGTTAAAGTGCCTTGTACAAATAATAAGCCAAAACGCTAACTCAGGTAACTTCATTCCAGGACTTCAACTAAGCTGTCATGCTGTCAGCAGGCACAGGGAAGAGCAGAGTCCTGAAGTGGTGGAGAACCTTTGGCATGTGTGTTGTTTATTTTTCTTTTAAGATAAAAGCTGTCAATGTATGAGTTGTGTTCTTCTAAACTAAAACCTCAGTATTCAGGTTGAATTGTAGTGTTGGTACTTGGCAAGAAATAAGTAGGTTTTGGGTTGCAGTTTGGGCACTTGTCTCTAAAAAGTTCACCATCACTGCTGTAAAGGAAGAAATGGTGAATTTCTGAATCTGGGCAAGCCAGGCATCACCTAGTCAGTCATTCAACATGCTGGATAACACCTCATGTCCCCACATACATCCCAGTTCCTGGGAGGCCTTCCGGTGCCTCAGTGGCTTGTCACATATATCCAGGTTGTACAACTCTTCCTGGGTTCCTGTGAAGCCCAATTTCATCTTTTCATAACCATTCTGTAATAGACCTTCTCTGTTGCAGTGGATAAATGTAGGATCTCTTTCTTGCTTCTCAAAAGTCTAACACTCAGGTAGACTCCTGATAATTATCCAACAGTGGTTCTCAAACTGGTGTACATCAGAATCACCTGAAAGTTTCACTAAAACAGATTGCTAGGCTCCATTCCTGGAGCTGCAGATTCACCAGGTCTCCCCAGGAGCCCAAGAATGTACCATGATAGTGATACTGTAGACCCAAAGACCACAATTTAAGGACTGCTGATCTGGAGCTTACTACCTCCAATGTGGAGAGTGGAAGACACAGCAGCCTCACTCGGAGATTTTTAGGAATGCAAGATCTCATCTTATGGTCCACATAGGCTTACTACATCAGAATCCGAATTCCAGCAAAACCCCCTGGGGGATTCTTGTGCTCATCACAAAAGCATTCCTAGAAACATCAGCTAGCTCTAAATAACACTAATGTGGGGACCACATCCAGAGACGCTGACCTTGGTGCCTGCCCCCTTTCTCTGAGATGATAATTTTAAGCAGGTTGTGCATGTGGCCTGGGCATGGAGAGTGTAGACAAATACAATGTGAGCAGCGTTGTAAGACACTT